TAATACTCCTTGGTTGAGATAAAACTTTGTATTTAAGCTTCTGATGTGTCCAAACTAAGCTACTCGGTTCAGGACTGTCTCCAGTTTTACATCTCAGTAATTAATTTAATGTCTTTCTTCAATCATTTCCAATACATGGAACCAGAGTAAGAGTGCAGTTAGTGTAATTGCTTTATCCAAACATATAGAGCAAGTAGTTGTTCAGGAGAGAAAGCTGCTACAACATGTCTGTGGGCATTGCAGTGTCTCCTATACACCTCGACAGCAAGGAATAAGAAAACTGGTCTCTCCCTTCCCAATCAGATTGGGCCAATTTCCTTAATGCTTTTAATGTTGCATGAATAAAATTTTTAACTTGAGCTTGTGAAAGAACTTAATTGCTGTTCAGGATAGTTACTTGTTTTCTGCTCTACTGTAATATAGCATCTTAGAGTGAGAACGTTTAAAAATTACTCTGATTTTAAATTGTAACCATCAATGGGAAGGTAGGCGTTGTGGTGTTCCCTACTTCACAGATGTACATTGAAGATAATCAATTGGTTTGATTGTGTCTATTGTCAGGTGTAAACTTTGAAATAATCAAGAGAATGCCTGAAATGAGTCAAGAGGTCCTCCTACCATCACCCTTGTTCACAGGGGACATCTGAGAGGATGAAACTGAAGTGCGAGTAGAGGAGATATTAAATAAATTAGCAGGAGCTCATGGTAATCACCTAGGAGGCAAAAGGAATTTAGGGATGAAATAGTTGTCCCTGGTACCTGTTACTGAAATCTTACATGCCACCAGTGGACTAGAGGGTGTCAAATATACCTCAGAATTGAAGAGGAGAGGTAAGGGGGGAATGTGTGATCTGTGGAACTACCCAGTAAGCCAAATACCCATAACTAATCATTAGAAACACTTTCAAACAGTAAAAATAATAAACAAAATTCATATTGAAGGGATTCTATATGAATCTGAATGTCTAAAAAATGTTAGAGGGTTTTTTGAGGAACCAAACAATATTTGAGCATGAAAGATTTGTTTGATAGTCTGATTGGATTTTCCAGTGGTCCTACTTTCCTTCTACAGCTGCTTTGTGTATTTCAGTATTGGCACAGGAGTCTACGTATGCTAAACATTTGCAGTGGTTTAAAAAGGGATTAAAATTCATGGAGGAAACGTGCATCTAGACTGTTACACACAAAGCTGCTGCTCTTGTCTTGGAAACTCCTGAACTGTGAGTTGGTAGAAGATGGCAGTGTCGAAAATCTGCAGGGCAAAAAGTGTCAGGCAAAGATTACCTTTCCTACAGTAGTTTTTCTCAGAAATCTATTTCTCTCCAGTCCTAGGGAAAAGACATTGATGTGAAACCTCTGTCAGCACAAATGTTGCTAATCTTATGAATATTTGAATAGTATAAAACTGCAAAAGCCCCCGCATAGCATCTGCATCATCCACTGTTCAGTGCTCCCCTTGGCTGGTTTTATTTTTAAGTGAAATGATAAACGCACCCAATATATTTTTAAAGTTAAACACTATAGTTGTTCTCTGAATAGATTATTATTGAATGTTTACTCTCCTATAACTGAAAATACTTAATTTAAAACCATTCCAGTAGTATGAAATATGTATCACACAGTGTATGATTCTGTTCAGAAGAAGGTGTACCAGAATACACCTGGATGCTTCTGAAATGATTCCACATACTCTTTCTCGATGTTCTGAATAGAATTCCCTTGTAGTTTTATCATGTAATGTATTCTATATATTGTCTTTCTTAAGCAATGGATTCAATGGATGAACATGATATTTGGTGCTAAACTTTCTCATCACTTTCTAAATCTTCTCATTTCTTTCAGCAGATAGATATAGATACAATCACCTCTGCGAATGACACACATGCCTCTCCCCAGTTATTAATTTATTTGTTGCTTCTTATAGCACATTCATCATTCTCTTAAGCCTAGCTCAAAATTTAGCATCTAAATACAATTTTGATGGAATCAAAGTGCAAGAGAATAATCCTGAGAATGTCACTGAGTGAGTTGCAATCCCTGGAAGTCCAACTTGTTTTACAAGTGGAGTAACAAAAGTGCCTAGGCTTTTACTGCCATGCAAACCCACAGGTGCCTCAGTCCCAGTTGAGCTGAATACCTTGGCACCTACTTGGTGTCTGAGGCAGTGTGTGGTTCACGCTGCTGGCATCTCACTGCTTAATTCCCTAAACAAATAATCTAATAGGTATATTCAGCACATGTTTAATCTACATTGGAAGTGCTGCAAAGCTGTGACTCGTGTAATTGGTACAAATGGTGGTTATACCTGTAAGTGATAAAATCATCCGTCCAGGGAATGGAAAACCAGGATGTTAGGACTGCTTTAGATAGAGGGAATTCAAGACAGAGATTGCACTTTGAAAATGCCCCCTAAATTTCCATTCTCCTATGAGATTTTTTCTTTTATACTAAGTGATCAGTGAATGTACTTCTGAAAACCAGGGCCAAATCCAGGACTTTGCCTTCCCAGATGATTCCCAAAAGAGGAGACCTCGAGAGAGGATCCTGCTATTGTCTCATTCTTGCCTCCCTAAATCTCCTCTTCTTCCTGACCCAATCATCAAGCATTAACATGTGCCCTTGTCTAGCTTGGCTGAAAGTTGACAGGTGATATGCTCTTTAACACTGTGAGTAGCTTACCATATAGTATAGTAAATAATATTTCTTAAACCCCTTCCTCCATTTTAAAAAGAGGAGCATATGTCACTTCCGTCTATACAAAGTGAAACTTTTAATTTAGGGGAAAACTGTTAATCCCAGTCTTCTGTCAGTATCAAACTGGGGTCTTTTTCTCAGGATATAATATCTAGAAAGAGTTGGTATTTTTCACCATTTTATCTCAGTTACTTGAGGTGCACTCTTAATCCTCTGCCTTTTCAGTATACTAATAGTAGTTGAATTCCATTCTAGATGACTCAGTCCTATGGTCAAAATAGAGTGGGTTTAAAAAAAGATATTATAAAAATTAGCACAGAGCCAAGGGAGACCCAAATACCAAGACACAATATACCCATATTTACCTTTTTTACCTCTGGAATCAATATGTCTGTGTTTGCATGATAGGTGAGAGTGTCTGCATCATTCTTCTGATTACAGGGCTGGCTCAGAAAGCCCTGTTAGGGCTCTTGGTTAGACAAACTTTTATGCTTCTGAAAAAGCAGGGTTGTTAATTCTTCTTTTACAAGTAGGTGTCTTGACTCCCCTTGTGGACATGACCAAACAACCATGTTGATAATTATGTTAGAATTCAACCTCTATTTTCATCCTCTTCTGCATTTTTAAAGCATTCCTATGGCTTTTATAAGGAAAGTAACTTAAGCTGTGGAAGTTTTAAAAGTAATTACATTGAAAATGCCAAATAGTATGAAGAAGATTTGAAGACATGGTTCAATATTTTGTTTTAAATGGATTTATAATTACATATGGGGATTCTTTGCTTCCACAGCCCTGAATGGGACAGAAGGAGAAGAATGACAGCATGTGTGGGAGTATTGATTTTTATATAACTAGACTATTAAATGATAGCAAAAAATGCATCACTTGTTAGATTCTGATAAGAACGATATCACGTTCATCTGTCACTGTGGAATGAAAAGAAGTTGTAGACTAATACCTCAGGTTTTGATATAGATTTTATGAACTTTTTTTTACTTTTATAATTGGATTAGAATTGTTGCACTTGTAACCTTTTTAGTAACTACTCATTCAGGTATTGACACACATATGTGTTTTATTAGTATCACCCTTGTTGCGCAAGGGCCTGCACTACAAACAAGTGGATATCTTGCTCTCTAGAAATATCTCTTGATGACTGCAAATTCCAAGAAAACATATAATTTATAATAATATTGATTTTCATTTTTTCACTTGAATTTAGCAACATCTTTTCAGGTTGACAGTATTGACTATAAAAACTCTCTGTTCAAGTCCAGATGGAACTGTAGTTCACTCTCCATGTACAATGCTTAAATCATGTCAGCCCCTCTGCAATCTTTTTTATGACTGTTTAGTAGCGTTGGGAAGTGTTATGTTGCTTATAATAGTTGTATCCAGTGAAAAACTCAGAACTTTGCTTAAAGCGACTTTTAAACTTGTGTTGAATGAATACCATTGTTACATAACAGGTAGAAAAAAAGTGGTGAGGTACTGATTTTTTTTTTTTTTTTTAATTGAGTTTTAAATTAATTTTTAAGTTGTCCTAACTGGCTAGAACAAAAAAGAAAAAAGTATTAAAATTGAATTATAGAATGGTTTGGAAGGGATCTTAAAGTTCATCTAGTCCCACCCCCCCTGCCACGGGCAGGGACACCTTCCACTAGCCCAGGTTGCCCAAAGCCCCGTCCAACCTGGCCTTGAACACTGCCAGGGAGGGGGCAGCCACAGCTTCTCTGGGAATCATGTGCCAGGGCCTCACCACCCTCACAGTGAAGAGTTTCTTCTCTACATCTAATCTAAATCTATCCTCTTTCAGTTTAAAACAGTTACCCCTTATCCTATCACTACCCTCCCTGGTAGAGTGTCCGTCCCCATCTTTCCTGTAGGCCCCCTTTACTAGAAGGCCACTATACAGTCTATGTGAATCCCTATCTTCTCCAGGCTGAACAACCCCAACTCTCTCAGCTTGTCCTTATAAGGGAGGGGCTCCAGTCCCCTGATCATCTTCATGGCCTTTCTCTGGACCTGCTTGAGCAGGTTCCTGTCTGTCTTATACTGAAGGTCCCTGAGCTGGACACAGCACTGCAGGCGGGGTCTCACGAGAGCAGCGTAGAGGGAGAGAACCCCCTCCATCGACCCACTGGCCACACTTCTCTTCATGCAGCGCAGGACACAGTTGGCTTTCTGGGCTGTGAGCACACATTGCTGGCTCATAGTCAGTTTTCCATCCACTAATACCCCCAAGTCCTTCTCCTTGGGGCTGCTCTCAATCCACTCATTGCCCAGCCTGTATTTGTGCTTGGGATTGCCCCAACACGTGCTGGACCTTGCATTTGACCTTGTTGTACTTCATAAGGTTTGTTTGGGCCCATCTCTCAAGCCTGTCAAGGGCCCTCTGAATGGCACATCCCTTCCCTTCAGTGTGTTGACTGCACCACACAGCTTTTATGCACAGTTTTTACTTTAAATATTTGGGAATAAAGGAAACATGTCTCGGAACCATTTGTTTTTCATAGCATTACCAAATGAGAGAGATTTAGAAATTCATGATCAGGAATTGGGAAGTAATGTCATCATGTAGATACAAAACACATTGGAACTGGAGAGCAGACACATCATATTTCATCTGGAAATATGATGGGAGAGAGGGACTCTGAATTTTTGTGTAGATACAGTATGTATTTGAGTTGGTAAAGAGGCAAAGGAAATGCAAACCTTTTATCTGAAATACATAACTGATACAAGAGTAATTTTGATCCAAAGAGGCCTTTGTGATCTCAGAATAAGTTGTTTGGTATGTATGCACAAAAAAAAATTTTTTTTGTTTTCAGAAAACCATATAGCTCTCCTGTATTATCCTGAGGGATGACGTTTAATGCATCTTAGTCCTGGTAATGCTACTGGGAGTTTCATGTGAGAAGGTGCTACAACACCTTCCTAATGCAGAGAAATGGGTGGTTTCCAAACACAGCATGTTAAAGCCTAATTCTGTGCTTGACTTGGGAGACATGTCTCATGTGGGACTATTTGTATAAGTGTCCTGGTTCAGCTAGGATAGGGTTAAGTTTCCCCAGCAGGCCCTACTTGGTCCGAGGGTGGGGGAGGGACAACGGCAACATGGTCTCCAGTCCCGGCAGGACTTAAACCAGCACTATAAACAAGGATAATAATTTCCAGTTTGCTTTTTTCACAAATATAAGCATCAGGAGTTAGATTATATGCAATACCAACAATATGAAAGAACAATTTTTATTATTGCTTTAAATAAAACATACTTTCCAACCATTAATTTTTTTCTGTATGTTCTGCTGAAAATACCTGAGCTCAGCTGGGGAAACCATATCCATGTGAACAGTCTTATCAACATCAAGGTTTGTGAGTAATTATGCTACAGAATAACTGAACAGTGGTGCAGACTCAGGCTCTCAGGTTGTTTCTCTAGGAGTAGGAAGTTCTTTTCGATTTTTCCCTTTTCCACTCCATCTTCTGCCTTTTTGCAGTCTTTTTTTGGCTGTTTGGTTTGGGTTTTCTTTGTCAGCATTTAAGCTCTGAATATCTGTTCCCTTTAATATAAATGGTAACTTTACACACACGAGTAATCTTTCTTAATTCAGTGGGGACTACCTGTGAGTTTAAAACTGCACATTATCCTCATTCTCTGGGGAAAAGATTACTTCTCATCCATGACAGTGCAGAGCATATTGTCAGCACTCTAAACAAACAGTAAGTAGTAACCACACAGAAAATATCAGGTTTAGATTTGTCAGTGTGCAGAAAAGTACAGATTTTTTTTTTTTTTTTTTTTTTTAAGCACATATAACTCAAGACTGGCAAAATGATTTTGTGTTAACCTTCCCACGGTATTTTCTTTTGGAACCAAGACCAGGCAAAAGAAAGATCATCCTAGATGTATGCTTTTTGAGGAGGTATACATGATAGAAAAGACCCAGTTAGAAGTGAAAAAGGCTATTTCAACTTGACCTTTAACATTCATCCCCAGATGATGCTCTGTGAATAGTTTTGGTGGTTTTCACTTTGGAAAGTTTTGTTTTAATCTAATGCCTGGCGTGCCAAAGCTCTCTGCAGTCTGCATCCTCATTATGGCTGATACATTTCTGATAATATAGGCTTTGGCTAGAAATATGCTGGCAGAAGTTGTGTTGATGATGGTAATGATCTCTGTTTGGAATGGTGAGAGTCAGGTTTGGGGAGACCAGAGGTCGCTCACCTAGGAAACGTGCATGAGGTGTGACTGTATTTTTTTTTTTTTTTTTTTTTTTTCTTCTGACACACTGCAAGCATCTTTCTATTAGTGTTTCTAAGATGTGCATCTCTTTCACAAGACTCTGTGCTGCACATAAAACGGAAATGACCTTTCACTGAATCAAAGGCAGACTATCTCAAGGTAGTCTGACAATCTTTATAGCCTAAAAATGTTTGTTTTGGTTTTTGGTCTGGTGTTTTTTGGTTTTTTTTTTTTTTTAAAGAAGTCACGTAGGCAAGAAGCAGGTCTTTTCTGGATCATTATTGTGTTGCCTTTCCTGATCTCCCCTCCTTAATGTGGTGTGCATAATAAGGTGTAAGTTAGTGATCTGAACTTACAGCTGCTGCTTTAGGACATTACTGATATGAACTCCGTTGTATTTCAGACAAGGTGTGGTGACAGTGGGAATTAGCACCACCATGATGACCAGACCTCTCCTTCCTGGTGGCATTCCTAAATTACATACAGCAGCAGAGTTGGCAGCATTGGTTGAAGCAACTCAGGCTAATAATTTAGGTTGTATATGGGATTTTTTAATCTTTGTTAAATTTGTTTTCAAATTACAGAAGGTTACAATAGGATATGGATGCAGACTCCTGCAGCAGATACTGCCTGATACAAAAGGAAGGGAGTTTGAGGGTACTAAATGGGGATAAAGAGAAAAATAATCTGCAAGTCCATTTGGAAAGCTTTTGAAGCCATAATCCATCTCTGTTACAGGTTTTTGTGGTGTTTAGAAACCCATGTCAGATCATCTTTTTCAGCTTCAGATACTGGTGATGGCATAAGGTTAAATTAAAAAAAAAAAAAAAAAAAGTGGTATGAAGTACTAGTAAATCTAGTAGCAGAAAAAAGTTGAAGCCACAGGGGTGAACAACAGCTGACATATCAAAGCATAAAGTAGGTTTTATCTCAGTTCTCAGTCCTTTTGTAAGATACTAATGGTTTATTTGAAATGCAAATGAGAGAGGACAAATTTTATTGCAAACCATATTCCACATCAAACTTTGATGTCTGATTATACAGAAGGAACTTCTAAAATTTTTCTGTAGCTTTTTAAATCAGCTCAACCTATTCTTAAAGGGCCTACATTTCAGATAAAAGACTTGGTAAGCAAACAGCAGTTGCTGTTTTAAGTGCAGCTTCCAATTCTCCAAAGCATCAAGCAGGAGAATCATTAAGTCTCCTTTGTTTAAGTTGAGTGGAAGGAGACAGGGAAGGTGAAGAAAGGTATCGTGGTTGTTTTCTCAAAGACTGTTTTATACAGCCCTCTTGTACCACCTGACTCAGAATCAATAGTACTTTATTGGAAAACAAACAAGCAAAATGAAAACCCAGCAAAGCTCCTAAACACAGCTGCTTACATTGCCATTGGGAAGTGAAATCTTCCTTCAACTTTCAGCATTTGCACAGAAGGGCAGCAATGCCATTGGAGTTTTACATTAAATTTGACTTTTTTGGGACATCTCTAAATTTTTTTGTACAGAAAGCACAGTCTACTTTGTTTTTGTCAAAAATAAATCACATATTCTTGTATGTGCTGTTACCAATGCAGTAATTTCTACTTGGAAAGGTTTTATGTGGGGGTGTTTTTTGTTTGGTTTTGGTTTGGGTTTTTTTGTTGTTTTTTTTCTTTTAAATTCAGCTCTATGTTCTTGCCCCCTTTCCTCTTTTTTCTTCCACTTCCATCCTCAACTCCACTTCTTTACAATGGCATAAATGTCAACCAAATTGCAAAGAAGTGGAGTGTTCTTAAATGACATTGTCTCAGAGAAACTCTTGATCTCTTTGGTTTGCACTTTGAGTGCCACCTGTGTCCCTTCCTGCACTCAGAAGGTGTTACCGACTCAACAAAGTAGCAGAGAATTCAACTCTTAATACAAGCTGGAAATTGTCAAACAGAAATAGAAGCTTTTTTCTAAGGAAAGAAAAAATTCGTTTGAACAATTCCTCAGAAAAATGTGACAAAGTTATGATAATTTGTGAATTGGAATAACATTGGTTTTTGAAATGTTGTCATCAAAATAAACATTAAAGATCTATTTTGCTAATCCTCTTTTTCTTTGGTTTGGTAATGACCACATCACAAAACTGGCTTCAAGCCTGGGAAGAAAATTCCCTAAAATTATTATTGTGATTTTTTGGGGGTTTCTTACTCTTTTTTTTTTTTTTTTTTTTTTTTTTTTTTTTTTTTTTTACTCTTTTAGAAATATGAATGGATGGAACTGTAAAAATTAAGAATGGTTAATTTTTTGGATGGGATTCCTCAGGCCTAAAGTATAGATGGTAACATCTCAGTTTATAATTGGTGGAAGTAATTGCACTTTTAGGATGCAGTTCAATTCATAGACTGGATGTCTGCATTTCTACCTATTGCTCTTGGTTGCTTAGAGAAGCTTGGATAACTAACTCAGATCTAGGTATTTATGTAAATGTTTAAATTTAGAAATTAATTTTATGCTCTAACTTGACAGCATGTAGTCAAGAATAGACCTTGGCATCAGTGTAGACAGCTGAATTCAGGCTTCTATGTATTGTGCAACAGCTGCCAAGGAATAAACAAATATTCAAAATTAAAAGAATGGGAGAGAGAAAAATACTGAGAACACTATGGCTATGATTTTATTAAAAACCAAGAAAAGTCAGTGCTGTGCCCTCACCTGGGATATTGTGTTTGGTTCCAATTGTTGCATCAGAAAAAGACATTAGACAAATAGGAAGATTGAGAGATATGATGAGAATGATGGGGGTATGGGGAAGATGTTCTCATCGGAAAAGAGATTGAAAAGGCTTGGACTATTTAGGAAGAGGTGAATAAAAGGGAAACAGTAAAACTAACCAAAGTAATGATTACAGTAAAGAAAAGCAGGATGAGAAATTTGTATTTTATTTTTAAAGCTTGAATAGAAGAACAAGGAAATACTGACTGAATCTGGAAGGGGGAAATTGAAAACTGATGGAAGACAACTCTTTATTCACACATTGTGTAATTAACCTATGGCAGTCATTTCCCTAAGATGGCACTGAGGTTCGTGTTGTACCAGCCTTGGAAAAAGGGTCTGGAAATGTATATATGGGACCAAGAGAAATATCTGCAGTGCTGATAATATGCAACATCCCCCCTCAAAAACAAGAGAGGAGCTTTTGAAAGTTTTCAAAGCAATTTCAGTGCTCCTAGAACAGCGTGACTTTGGGATGATTTAGATTTCACCACTCTTGAACCAAGTAGAAAGTAAATAGTTTTGAGGATTTATTTTTTTACTAGTTAATTTGTTTATGCAAAATAAATGTACTATTTAAAACCATCAGATTGAATATGCTTGGTTATCATCTGCTCTTATTTATTCAACTTTATGCAAAATCCATTGTGGCTCTCTATGAGAACGAAGGCATATTTTTGTTTGTGATATATTAAGGGCAAAATAGCAGCAATATTTCAAAAAGAGTGGGCTAAATCAGTTTCAGTATATTGTCTGGCTGGGAGATGAGCTCAAAGGAATATCAGAGCAATTCAAGCAGGTTGCAGCCTTTAAATGCTAATTGGGTTTGTCTGCAATGTTATTGATAGAGCCTCTAAGGAAGAGAATGAGAATTCATTATTCTTTATACGAATAACCTAAGGAAGAGGAAGTGAATTGAAGGGAGAAGTCTAGATTTATCAAACCAATTTCACCATTTCAATCTTGTGTC